AAACATGGAACTCAGCAAGCTATAAATCACCAAAGCTACTCGACATTGATAGTGAGCAAAAAAACAGCTTTGAAGTTAATATTAATGGCCTCATTCACACATAAAAGCAACCTCAGACACATTTCTAGGTACTTGGTCTTTGAGACAAATCAGGTTGGCGAGTTTTTTAAAGGAGACTGAATAATTTACAGATATAAATAAAGAGTAACAACCAAACGGCTTTCTAAACTGTTTACTTCCCTACTTTTGTGCGTTTTGTGAAATACCAAAACAAACAAAACAGACTATTGGCAATGGGGAAGGTGTGTTTCTAACTTTTTTAGCAGGTTTGCCAGGGTAAAAAAAACACACATACACACCTTTGTTGAAATGGGGTATTTCCTGACAGTCAGCAGCACACACCATTTTGTCATCACTTTAAGTGTTGTGTGCTGTGAGTGAGTGAGTGAGTGAGTGAGTGAGTGAGTGAGTGAGTGAGTGAGTGAGTGAGTGAGTGAGTGAGAGAGAGAGAGAGGAGAGAGAGAGAGAGAGGAGGTCCTAAACAAACACCCTCCCCCCACAGCCCATCTGGTCAGTTGCTTTATCTGTGGGACAATTCGAAGCTACCAGGTCCAGCTCCTGGTGTGATCGTTCTGGAAAGTGTGTGTGTGTGTGTGTGTGTGTGTGTGTGTGTGTGTGTGTGTGTGTGTGTGTGTGTGTGTGTGTGTGTTACCAGCGAGGCCAGCTGTGTGTCTGAGCAGTGAGATGGTATGCAGGCCTTCCACAGATCATGTGCTGTTAGTTGGCAAAAACCAACTGGGACCTTATTTAGCTTTCTCTGGATTGGACTGAGAAACCCTCCTCCTCAGCAGAGTATAGCTGAAGTAAAGGGGAAATCACTGGCCCCTGCATACTGTCACCCTGAATTAACAGTATTATTGTGCAGCCCCAATATAATCAAATAAATTCCACATTTTAGTAAAGCTTCAAAAGCTTTCTTTAACTGGTGCATTATCTCAATTTCCTTATTTGTGATGAAAGGAAATGTTGAGAACTATTTCAAGTTTAAATGAAGGAAATCAATATTGGATAATTGGTTTAACTTGACCCAATATAGTTGCATTTGAAAAAAAGAAACAGATATACAGTAAATGAAGACAACAAAAACCAGAATAGATCACAATGCATGGTGTCAAGTTTGTCAACACTGAGAGGTAGATGTGATACTCTGTCAGACTGCTTATGGAGTCACTTTTAATGAGTGGAGGCAGGTTTACTGTGATAGGATTAGGCCTAGCTAAGTAAGATCTCATCAAGCGTGCCCACAAGCAGCTGCGACAAACTCACTGAGCCATTTTCACTTCTGAGTCAAAGTGAGGGCAGAAAACAGAGATAGGCCGTCACATCAGACAAACGGATTGTTGTCACGGAACAAATGCCTAACATTGGTCATCTATTAGGCTACACAGCTGAGTAATACACATTCGATGAAGACAAATGAGTTTTATGGACGTTTGGTTAAAACATGCCTTTTACTAAGTTAATGAGAAACCGTTACAAGTAACACTAGGTCTCAGACCGTGTAGCGCGCTGCACCTGCTCCACTACCCCCATATTGTAACACAAAAATCAATCAAGAGGTTTAAATAAAGTTTCTTACCTCTATAGTACATCGCGCAGACTTCCCTGCCGAGTTAGAATAATCCCGTTTTCCGTGTCTGGCGACAGACTACTCAACGAGGCTCTGCTCGCGTGTGACAATGTGATGCATCCAAAAATGCTACCACGCGACCGGTGTTGCGTAGAAGTCAGTTCCCCAGATTGAATGAGGCTCCTCTTTCATTGACCTGAACCTAACCGTCCCCCCAAGTACAACATGTCGTCTTTTGAAATGTCTAACCCGACAACCACTTTAACTATAACCTATACCCAGTTATCGCTGACACGCCTAACCTAACTAAATCCCAACTCAGACCACGGAGTGCACCCCCACCCCACGGGAAACAGACTTCGACCCGACACAGACCGGACTCAGAAAGTGAAATCACTATCAGGAGAACAACAAACTAAGTGAACGGAGAAACGTGTAGAAAAAGGTATTCACACTCAGCCCCGTTTCTTTTCCCTAAACTTAATTTGCTTTGTTTGCTTCCTCTGCAGGGGTGACTGACTAACTTGATGGAAACAACGCTGCTGAGTAGTGAGGAGTCAAGGCAGACGAAATATAGATCAACATCCGGTGTTTGTAATTTCAAAATAAATTGCATTGAAGTTTAAAAAAAAATAGTGTTCTGTTAAACTCACAAGTCACGACAACACACATATTCAAATAGACCAAACAACGTAAGACTACGTTACTCTCAGTGGTGTTGGGTTAAGATGAAACTACTTGAATACTGAATCCTCACTATTTCTACTGGCTAAAACGCTTCTAAAACATGTTCTCCAGCACAGACCCGAGTCCTCTGGATAACGTAATCAAATATAGACAGGGCTGCACATAACTGGTGCGCACGTGCGCATGCGCACCTCGGCCAAAAAAAAGAGCACCGGGTCATTTGAAAAAAGGCGCATTTGCGTACCAACATTGAGAGAGAGGAAGAGAGAAGAGAGGGAGAGAGAAGGGAGAAGAGAGATAAATATATTTGCGAGTTGCATATGAACTCAGGGCCGGCCCGTCGCACTGGCGTTGATTTTCGCCTAGGGCGCCAGATCTGTGGAGGCGCTGCGCTGGTAGTTCTGGGAGGGAAAAAAAACATTTTTGACCGTTGGTGCTCATCCTAATTTTCGGCCTTGATGTAACAACATTCATAATTAAGTAAATGTAACACCCTTTTCACCCCGGTTACACGTTTCATTTGCCCTGTACGATGGGCGCTGTAAGTGATGAAAATGGGGAATGTTGGCTTATCTGGCGCCCGCAGCTCACAGCCAAAGTGCGAGGGAGGGTGCACCGGTACCGGCGCTGTTGTTATTAGAATCTGGTGCTAGCTGCGGATATAAGAAGAAGATGTTTCTACAATGATGTGGAGGGAGAGTCCTCTCCAGTCAGACCGAGAGACTGATAACTACAGCTCAGTGAGGTAAAGGACTCTGAGTGTTTAGATAGTTCACTTTAGTCTAAGTTCAAACGGTTTGGTCACAATTTATGTAAACACATATTATCAAGGCACTCCTTTATAATTATTGGGATAAACAGGTTTGAAATCATTCCAATGTATACTATAGGACAGTAACCAAACATATCCTTTTAAAACTGGACTTTCGACCCAAACCCAGCTGTTGACTTGTGGATGCAAGCAGCTAATCGCAGACTCAACCAGAGAGAAAGTAGTAGGCCTACATCATCAGCTACCATGTCTGAGAGGAAGACAGTGAGGAGAACAGTCAGGAGGGTAGTGATGACAGCTTGTAGGATTACTGGTCGTGCTAATGTTGTCTTGTGTTCGCATCTGCATGTGTGTTCTGTGTTCACCTCTGCATGTGTGTTCTGTGTTCACCTCTGCATGTGTGTTCTGTGTTCACCTCTGTGTGTTCTGTGCCGTGTGTCTGACAAATAAAGACCGGTTTATTTATTTCATTTTAAGGATGAGCACCAAGCAACATCTCCAGGTGCTCCTTTGAGAACCAGGGCAACAAAGTTATGTGCATCCCTGAATATAGATCAGGCCTTTTTACAGCAGATCCTGTGACAGATTCAAGTTCCAACAGAATCAGAATACTAGGAATGTGTTAAGATGAATACACATTAAGTGAATGTACAAATTAAGTGGTGTCTTGATGAATAAACACAGTAAATATATAATATATATATATAATGTAAGTATATTATCTTTTCAATTTACACACGGCATCTATTGCACGTCTGTCCGTCCTGGGAGAGGGATCCCTCCTCTGTTGCTCTCCCTGAGGTTTCTCCCATTTTCCCCTTTAAAACTGTGGGTTTTATCCGGAAGTTTTTCCTTGTACGATGTGAGGGTCTAAGGACAGAGGGTGTCATACTGATATTTTGTACAAACTGTGAAGTCCACTGAGACAAATGTAACATCTGTGATATTGGGCTATATAAATAAACATTGATTGATTGAGTAAGAGAAAATAAAAATAAATAATTAGTGCTAATATTCGTTAACTATTATAACAAATATATTACAAATAAAAAGGGTAAAATGAATACACTAAAAACACAACACAATATGTTTATCTACAAATGACACAAATATATATATATATATATGTCATTTTTTCCATAACTGGCTTCTGTTACTATCCAACAAGGGTGAAAACTGCAGGACAGCAGACCAAGATGCTGTTAATCTAAAGACAATGGAGAACCAGATACAGGAGGATTGGGGTCAATGACTAATCCTGAAACCCTCAAAGCTCTATGCTTACATGCATTTCTACGTGTTTCTACATTATCTGGGACAGTGTTTTCCATAAGTGGAACATTGATTTGTGGGGGACCCCAGGCAGGATTGAAGCATGTTTCTCTACTAATTCTGTATGGACATAATCTTCGTACGAATTAAGGCTGCACACAGGCCACACTTACAAGGAGCCATCAAACTTAGTGGACATTTGAACATTGCTGAAGGCTTTAACTACAAAAGGTAGTAACATTAAGTGAATAAGTTATTCATATACCGTTAAATGTTGGAAAATATTAAAAGTCTAAAAGCCTCTTTAATGTAAATTCAATCATACTGAGATCCATATGTTCAATATAGTTAGGCAGGGCCGGCCCTGGTTTTAAATATGTCATACATTAATTTTGATTGTGATTATTGCTGTGGCCATGCGCTGTCTGTTGTATGCACTCCTGTATCCTAGCGACGCAGGAATATACCATTTGAAGGCTATCAAGTTAACATAAAATAAACATATACTGTGCAATTGACATCTTGCTTAAATGTTCTGTATCTAGAAATATTTAATAAAGATAAAGAATATTCTTAATACACATGTAATGACTTAAGTGAGTAGATTTAGCTTTAATTATAACTGAAGAAATCCGGAGTTCCCTCTTCCAGTTGGAATTACGTGGCCCATTACACTTCCGCCAACAACAGCGGGTGAATGAAGAGGTACGTTTTGGGGTAGTTTTCATATTTAGTTTGAGCAAATGCATACATTTTGAATGCAGGTATTTTGTATATCCAGGTATAGTTGCATGCAGTTTTAAAGTAAATACGTCACTTTAACTCTTGACTGCTGTCTTGTTACGCGAACAAACCTGCCTGTGCTTCCGAATACACGATAGCGGTTGTGGGACCTGTAAAAGCCAACCGTTAGCCGCTAACGTGACAGTTAAATAAGCTATTCTCCTCCTTAAAGTTACATATACTGAAATAAATATTTAATATATATATTTGAGTTGCTTCAGGCTCTTAATTTTTTATGACAATTTTTTATGTGCATATCAAGCCTTCAGAGTCGAACAGGTGTAATGTGTTCTGTAGCTAATTATGCGTAATTATAATCAGCTGGTAACTCTTTATAGCTATGTCAGCCATTTTATTTTACAATAACTGGCGTTAGTTGTGGAACAATTGTAAGCCTATGCTAAATGTAAATTCCTCATCTTGTAAAGTTAACAAGAACAAATATATTCCACATATTACCATATATATATATATATATATATGCATGCATGCATGCCTACATACAGTATATTAATTTGATTTGACCCATAATAAATATTAATATATTGTAGGTGCCATTTTTTACATGTGCTCAGACTGTGTTATTTCTCTTTAAATAGTGAAAAACCATATGAATGACACATTTAATAGGTTAAGGGTTATACTACTTGATTAATTCATGAGACTGTAACTATTAACAATAATTCAAATATCACGTTTCTTCTGACAGATTGGATAACATGCATTACATTAATGATAGAGCTAATGTCATACAATTATGTATAGGTTTGGTTTTATATCTGATGTGTACTAATCCCCATTGGTTACAAACTCTATTCTCATTCTCTATTTTTACCATAACTTCTTAAAATGTCTACCATTTTTACTTGAGATTGTTCAGTTCTTTTCCACAGTGGATGGAGAACTTCATCCTGTATGAGGAGCTAGGGGCAGGAAGTAGCTCTGTTGTCTACAAAGGAAGAAGAAAGGGCAACCTGAACTATGTCGCTATCATCTGTGCCGACAAATCCAAGAGACCTGGGATCACTAACCATGTAGGATTGTGGTAGACATCTGTCACATTTCATTTCGTTTTTTAATTAGTACATAGGTTTATATAGTATTTTTTTTCCAGCCGAAATAACCATGACATCAATAAATGCAATTTTAACTTACTGTACTTACATTTCTTCTTACTATCTTACAATTATCTTACAATTAAAAAATGTTGAGCACTGTTATCATTTTTAAAAGGTTTTGCATTTTCTATCTATCAATCACATTTTAGCATTGCACTATAGAATATCTTGTATACATATGTCCTCTTTGTGTTCCATTAGGTACGTCTCAGCCAAGATCTGGATCATCCGAACATAGTTAGCTTCTATGAGTGGTATGAGACAAGCAACCACCTCTGGTTGGTGGTGGAGCTCTGCACAGGTCGGTAAATATTTCTGGCACATCTGATAGATAAGCACTCATGCACTATTGGATGAAATAAGTTACTTATTGTTGATTTTCAACGATCTCAACATGTGGAAAGAGAAGTGCATCCTCTAGCAGCTTTAAACGGATAAGATTTCACCGAAAATAGTTCATACTATGGTCCGGCAGTGGCTCAGTCAGTAGGGGCTTGGACTGTGAGCTCTGCCGTCGTGCCCTTGAGTGAGGCACCGGACATCCCCCCACTCCCATTGCTACCCGGGCGCTGTGCATTAGCTGCCCACTGCTCCTACTAAATGCAGAGGCCACATTTCTCTGTGTGTGCTGTGTGCTCTGCATGTGTGACCATTAAAGAGGGTTTCATCCCTCCGATTCTATCTATCTCTATATTTTTATAATCTGGTTTATTTGATTAACAATAAAATGTTCAAGTTTAGATTGTAAACTTGCATATACTTCATTCACCATGAAATGTCTTTATACATCTTGTAGTAGGTGTCAGTCTTGTTCTTTCTTGGTGTATTTGCCTATTTTACGGTTGCTCTCTTGTTTCTGTTTTTTCACTGATGTGTCTTATTTTCTCGATCTATTTGTCAGGTGGTTCCCTGGAGTCTATTATTGGTAGTGATGGATGTCTGTCAGAAGATGTGGTGAGGAGGTTTGGATGGGACTTGGTCAATGGACTGAAACACATCCATGAATTAGGAATAATTTACTCGAACTTGACCCCTGCTAAGGTCAGCATCTGCACTCATGTGTATGTAGGACTTAAAATACAACAGCAAATGTATGATCATTGAATAAAGTATCTCTCCTCATGTTACCCATAGATCCTGCTGGATGGTAGTGGCACTCTGAAGTTTGGTAACTTCTGTCTGTCCAAGGCAAATGGAGAAACACTTGAGGATTTCTTTACCTCAGTCTCTACATCTGAGGAGGCCAGGGAAGGAGATAGCAAGGATGTCTCTGACGACATGAGGGAAACATTACATGGTCAGATAACTTTTTTTATTTGTATTGCACATGCTAGCCAGTACATTAGCCAAGAAGAGTGCAAAGATGTACTATGTTGAATTGTAATTTGCATATGGCTAACTGATTTTAAGCTACACCAAGAATGAGTGGGTGAATATTTAGGGCAGGAGGCAAAGAAACAAGACCAATGGGATCAAGTAGCTGTTGCTGATACATGGTTATCATATTGAAACTACAAGCTGAGAAATTACAGAGAAATAGAACCAAATGAGAGATCAGTCTTCTAAAGAGGTCCACTTTTAAAGATATAGATTAGTCTTTACAATTTACCATGTGATGGCAAAGAATACGAAATATCATAATCATATACTCTATTTTTGCATAACATTCATTGTAAAATATCCTTTTTGCATGATAAGGCTGACAGTTTTTGCATTTCCCAATTACTGTATTTTTTTATATTTGTAGGTCTTCCAACTTACACAGCTCCAGAGGTTTTGCAGGGATCAGAAACAAATATGAGCTCTGATTTCTGGGCTCTCGGTTGTACACTCTACTACATGTATACTGGTACACACACACACACACACACATAAAACATAAACACACATATTTAGAATGACTATTTAAAATACACATAAATATCAATTCATTTCATCCTGTTTAAAACAATACCAACACCAACCTCAACATACTTTACAAGTGAGTGTTCTTTTCCAGGTAAACCTCCATTCTATTCGGAGAGCTACACGAAAATGACAGAGATGATTTTATGTCAGGAACCACCACCTCTCAGACAGACAGGTGATACTCCCTTTGTCATATAAAATCATATGCGGGTACACACATTGTGTGTTTAACACAATTGTTTTTATTATAGTGGATTCTATTACTGTATCTTCTCGGTGTTGTTTGTTACAGTGATTTCAGCCAGTCCTCCCAGTGAGGACTTCCAGAGTCTTCTGAAAGGCCTGCTCAACAAAAACTCTGATGAGAGGTCAAGCTTATGCACACACACACACACACACACACACACACACACACACACACACACACACACACACACACACACACACACACACACACACACACACACACACACACTTTTGTAGACTTACTTCAGTCTGCTACTTTTCATGCATGTTTTGATTAGTGTCACATTTCTGTGTTGTAATTTTAAGTTGTGTTGTTTTTTGTTTATTAGGATGGACTGGCCAGAGTTGCTTGACCACCCTTTCTGGGCACAAGTACTAATGGAGGAAGAGGGTGGAGAGGGAGAAGAGGAAGATGAGGAGGAAGAATTGGATCAGGAGGAAACAATTAGCTGTGAGGGGGTTGTTTCAACTAGCGTGAGGTGGGTTGATTAATATTATTTATATTTATTTTCAAGCATTCTACAGACATTTTGTCGCAACCATATTACTGCATTCAGATTTGCTTTGTCAAAGTATTTATGAGCACATACGTATAGGTAGAGGTAGAAGGAAAAACATAATGTACACCCACTTTAGTATCTTTTTATCCTTCTTATATAATGCAAGCGAGTCAACAGCACAACCCACAGCCTGCAGAATCAACATAACATTTAATCTAAAGTTAAATTCATAATTTTCCCTCAGCAGTTGTTAACCTGTTTTTTTCAATTCCTCCCCAGACACACAGGGACTTGTGCCCCTTTCCCTCCAGAACCTGCGGACAAGCTTCCAGACAGCCATTCTGATTCAGTCATCACCCAGCAAGCCCATAGGATCTCTAAGAAACTGAACTCTTTACAGATAACAACTGCAACAGCCTGCAGACCATCCGACAGAAGAACTGATTTCCAACAAGCTGTCAGACACACAACCTGTGGAGCCTCAAGGAACAGCAAGGGCTCGGAGAGAGGAAGAGAGGAGAAGGCAAAGACAGAAGATGACCCTGAGCTAACTGGGGCACAGCAGATGTGCCTCACACTGCAGCCTGATAAATCCTTCATACTAGGTAATACTATGTTTATGTGTTTAGATATGTGAGCTACCTGGCCACTAGGTTAGTAAGGCTTTTATTCCTGTACCACATATATATTTTATGTGTTTTGTTTCAATTATTGTAGTAATCTGGTTTTCTAGATAAGCCAATGTTGTTCCGTTCTATTATTTTCCCCTGAACTGCAAACATTTAAAACATTTCTGTGAGATTAGTCTGCTGTAGTTGTTGTTATGCAGATCCCCCCCTGTGTGGCCTTTACTAAGCATGATTCTCAGACATGTGTCCTCATGAATTGTTGTATATTTTTTGCTTCCTACTCTAGATAAGGTGTCAGAGCTCACGCCAAAGAGTGGTTTGGATGTGGACCACACTGGAGCCATTTTTCTGCTCAGGTATATCATTCAGTCCATCTGCCAGGGTTTGCCTGGGTTATGTCAGTCCCTACCTATTGTCTACCCGTTTGAACCAGTAATCTAATTAATGGCCCTCATTCATTGATTTTTCATGAAGAAAAGTGTGAAACTGAACTACTATTCAACAAGAAATAACAATGTTACTACCAGTGTAACTCTTACAGTATATCTATCCTTTGCCAAACTGTGCTTTACAAGGAATCAACTTAATGTACTTTGGTATATTCACTAGCAATAAGAAAACTGCCGTGTTCTTTTTAATGATCTCTATGTTGTTGTTCTTCTAGCTCCTGTGCCACCTCAAGGAGAAGCTGCAGTATCTCAGACCCTCCCAATCAGACCGCTGCACTTCAGGTTAATGCCAACACATTTTCTGATATCCGCAACATACCAACAAATAGCAGAGAGAATTGGTTCATGCTAATACTGCAACACAAGTAACTGTTAAATAGGAGAAAACACAATCACACTATTTCTATTTTTTCATTTATAAGTCCACATTTAAGGCATGTCATTGTCACCCCCTGCTTCCATCTGCTGTCTGCCCTGTAAGTCCCTCACTCCGGTCCTGCTGAGGTCGACTCACTTTCCTTTTGCCTTTTCCTAGGCTAGTACTGGTACTGAGATCACATCTGGTGTGAAAGCTCTTCTTCACACTGACTCTGATCTGACTGTCACCCAACTCCTGGACAACCCTAAGGTACAAACATTCAATATTATTAGACACAGGCTATTTCAGATTTTTACTTAAAATGCATCTATTTAACTTTCACTTTAAGAGTCATTGTGAGGAGCCTTTCCTTATAACCTCTTCTCACAATGCAATTGTAAATGTAAGGATAAACAATATAAAAAACCTTTATGTTTATGTATGAAGTAAGGAAATACCGACTTGGTGATTGTGATTTGATGATCAGACAGTCACTCTGTGTTTTTTTTTGTGCAGATTCTTAAAAGTCCTCCTGTGCGATTTGATCCCAAAAGCCTTTGTGTACCAGCATATTCAGGTACTGTATTAGGTTTGGTTTTAAATCCTTATTACATTTGATTGTATCAGTGTACTATATAAATGACATAGGATCTGTGGATTGTGTGTTCATTGGCCCCAATCTGTCTTGATGCTGACCTTTCCCACCCCACCTCCAGTTGAGAAGCTGCAGTCCCTGAGTGATGAAGAGTGGACTGTCCTCCTTTTACAGTTTTGTTCATCGCTTGAAGAACAGCACCCCTCCACTGCTCCATCTCCTCATTCCACAGCCACACGCTCCAGACTCAACCTGCTATGCTACCTCTGCTGTGTAGTTGGACACAAAGCTATTGCTAACAGACTGATAAACTCAAAACTGGTAAGAAGACACATATTGACTTTGGATCCCTGTTGAAATCAGCTGATGGGTTTTACAGGATCATTTTGCAGTTTTAGGGAATATATCAACCTATTTGACTACTTTTAAGACAGCAGTACTGCTACAAAAGATATGCTTGTGGTTGTGGTTCTTAACCTTGTTAGCCTTTCTTATTTTGTATCTCCTTCCTCCTACATTCAGCTTCCAGTATTGACTCAGCATTTACGACAAGCTCCCAACTGGGATGTGTAAGTACATTATGTATGTTTTTCTCTCTAAACCAGAAAGCATGATGGTCACCAAGCAGTAATGTTGGAGAAGTAGTTACTTTCAATTCACAGAATATACGAGAACTGAAATAACCGCATTGGTGGAGCTGAAACTCTGAAACCAAGGATGCAAGTGGACCTAACTTTGTTAGAATAGCTGCTGGCGGAAAAAGCACTGAGACGTTCAGTAGCAGCAAGAATAGCTTTTGGGCTGCACCAAAGTAACAAACATGAGGGCCAGAGAAGCATACCATTTATGATGTGTACTCACTCACTCTTCTTCTCTTTCTCCCTCTCCCTTTCTGAAAAAGTTCTATAAGAACTTGGTTTCCAAGTGACTTCTATTAATCAACAGATAACAAATCCTATGAAAGCTATAGCAAAATGAATGGTTACGAAAGTATTGTGCCTCTTTTATGTTCGTTTGAAGTTTCCTTACTATGATTTTCTCTTTTCAGGACCGTTTTCTATGCTAGTCCTGTGTTCATGGATTTTTTTTTACATCCTTCACAATTGTATTGTATTGTGTAATTGTACAAATAATGTTTTCCAGACGGAGCAAAGTTCTCAGAGTGATGGGTCTACTGGCTCTGCACTGTACTGAACTAAGAGAGGACAGCCCTGTTTCTGAGGTCTGGAATGCACACACACACACACACACACACACACACACACACACACACACACACACACACACACACACACACACACACACACACACACACACACACACACACACACACACACACACACACACACACACACCCCACAATCCTTTTAAAGAAAAGTGGTGAGAGATAATTATTATATAAATATATGAATTCCTAAATCCTGCAGTACTAGATTACGCCAAGAGGTGACAGTAAATACCAGCAGATGTAATGCAAATATGAATCTACTTTTATGCATAAGAACGTAAAACATACGAAAAGTAGTGCAATAATTCATACAGTATGTCAATTTGTTTCTTTTCATCTATAACCTAAACGTGTAACCGAAGATGGAGGCGAAAATCTGCCCTAAAACAAGATGTGGATGTGAATACCTGTTTAGTCCTGATTTACTTTGTCAAACTAGTGTGTACCAGCAGGTGGCATCAAAAACCTACAAAACAACATGTCTTTCATTAGATTCAAAGATACTGAAAATATCAGTCACTCACTCACTCACTCACTTTATGGCTTTTGCTTTTAGATTTCAATTTTGTGTTTAATTTACAATTTAAATATTCAACTGTTTACTATATAATTCTTCCAATATCCCCCCAATTGACTTTCTTTGTCCAAGTTATAACAATGATGCAGGTGAAACATTTGTTTTGGTTACACCTACATAAATCAAATTCAATTATAGTCAAACTAAATTTAACTTTAGTGTCAAATAGGTGATTTGCTATGTTGTGTTATATAAATAAATTGACTCGACTTGATTTAATTATTTTGATGTATATTAACTTAATATACCTGCAACTGAGTGTGTGTTACTATTACACATAACAATCAACAAAAGTGCCGTTAGGTAATAGGATACACTTGTCTGAACACACATTTCCCTAGACAGTTTCCCTAACCCTAATTCCCCTAGATGGATCATATACTTTTCTGAGCCCTCCATAAAACACACTCACACACACACACACACACACACACACACACACACACACATACTCACTCACTCACTCACTCACTCACTCACTCACTCACTCACTCACTCACTCACTCACTCACTCACTCACTCACTCACTCACTCACTCACTCACTCAAACTGAGCGGTGTTGAACTAATTCAACGTAAAAGCAGTTTTTTATGGAGGTGCCGTTATGATCATGTCATCCTTAACATCTTTTCTCTCTCGAATCCATTTTGTCCTTTTTCCATGGCTTATTTTTTGTTTTTGGTCTTTCTCCACTTGTTTTGACACTTTACTGCTACTCAGTCGTCACGGCGATTAACAAAATGGCCGTCTGTGGCGTACCAGGGTTTTTTCGGTGCACTTGTTGTTAAAGACAAATGGTGGAACATTTCTTCTTCCACCCCCCTTATCTCTCTAAAGCCACTGTAGGATGATAAATTGTTAAGGAAAGGACAAAGCTGTACATTTGTGCCATGTGTGTCTGTCCTTTTGTGTGTAAACCGGTGTGTCCGACTATGGACACAGCAGGGAGTGTGTGCTTGTGCGTGTGTGTATGTGTGTGGTTGGTTTGTTGTGGTTATGTGTGCTTGTAAGTGTGCATGGGCTCTTTTGAGAAATGTTTGTGTGCACACAGCAGGGGTCCTGTGTGTGTAGTTTTCTGTTTGTCTCTGTTCTTCTTCCCTATTTGTGTGTATGGGTGAGCGCAAATGTTCTGTGTTTGTGTGTATTCTTATGTTGTAGTATTCCTAGCAGATGACCACTAACATACCACATACTTTCATTTTTGTCAGTATGTGTGTGTGTGTGTTTAGTCACAGCAGGGGTTCTCCTGCTGCAGTCCTACTGATTGGAGTGTCAGGGCTGGGCTTAGTTACCATGGTAACTGCTATATGCTCCGACCCCCCCCTTCAAACACGAGTGCATGTGCACACACACACACACACAGACACACACACACCCACACACACACACACACACATTAAAAACACCTGTTTGTCTCTATTTCTGTCTCACTATCTACTGTCTGTCTCCCTCTTCCCTCTCTCTTTAATCTGTCTGTCTTCTTACTCTCTTCAAAAATAATGAAATGAGAGAAAAAAAATCTTGGATAATGTCACTAACGAAAGCTTGCTACGTTCTGTATGCCACATAGAGAAGCTGTCCTTTTAAAACCAAATATATATTATCATATTCCCCTTCACTTATCATCCCTAAAAGTTTAGCCGATGAAGCTTCCACTGTGCGGGGTGTTTCTTGGGGATATAGAGTCTTAATGCATTTTAAAGCTCTCTGCAATCTCTAGGAACACACATTCACAGGCCATTGGATCCAGGAAGACACCACTTTATTCTGTATGTGAATATTGCATATACAGTAAAGGTTGGGTTCAAACCACTTGTTTTGACAACTAATGAATGAAAGTAATGTCAATCCATTCAAAACCAACAGTACATAATAGATTGATAGGTTTATTGTCAAACAGAAATGATGCAATATTGTTTCCTGGAGCTAATTGGTGTAGCGTTTCCCTGTACTCATCTATGCTAAACATCTACTCAATTAAGCGGTTCATCCTTAACAAAACTGTTTAACACGATAACTTTATTTACTATTTATATTTGAGCCAAGCATTGGTTGTCTTGTTTTAAAATATGACACACCATTTGTCATAGCTGCCATGGGTCACATCGGACAGCACATTTATACATTTTGCAAATATATATATTAGGAAATCTCTGTAAAAATCTGGTATGTACATTTAGAATGTTAAGCAAATTAAAGTGGAACACCCGGTACTTATGCATCTGAATGTAATATTGCAACCTAGCTTTATCTGTGTGTGTGTGTGTGTGTGTGTGTGTGTGTGTGTGTGTGTGTGTGTGTGTGTGTGTGTGTGTGTGTGTGTGTGTGTGTGTGTGTGTGTGTGTGTGTGTGTGTGTGTGTGTGTGTGTGTGTGTGTGTGTGTGTGTGTGTGTGTGGTGTGTGTGTGTGTGTGTGTGTTGTGTGTGTGTGTGTGTGTGTGTGGTGTGTGTGTGTGTGTGTGTTGTGTGTGTGTGTGTGGTGTGTGTGTGTGTGTGTGTGTGTGTGTGTGTTGTGTGTGTGTGTGTGTGTGTGTGTGTGTGTGTGTGTGTGTGTGTGTGTGTGTGTGTGTGTGTGTGTGTGTGTGTGTGTGTGTGTGTGTGTGTGTGTGTGTGTGGGGACATATTTGTATTCTCCATGCCACTGTATGAGTTGTTTATGCATATTAATGAAGTGCACATGTTTGTTTTCTTGTGAGCAGTATTTCAGTTGATGCTGAGATAATGATAATGTGTTATTCGAGGGAATACATTCTTCCATTTGCTTGTGCTGTTTTCTTTTTCACTCTGGCCCGTCGCACAGGGTAGCCTTTCAGCACCCTCTGCCTAAGAGCAGCTGCGTGACCAGTTTCAAACAAACATCACAGTAGCTCTGCTCCCCACGCAGCCATTTATGCTATTAGCGGGTTTAGCTCAGGAAGAGGTTAAGGGAGAAGGTCAGAGAGCAATAATGTGAGAAAGAGGCAGAAGACCAGGAGCAGTATCGTGACAGCACATGAACACTACCATTCACAAACTTGGTTAGAAGGGAGACAATATGCTATGAGTTTATACATACATTTAAATGAGGCCAAAGGAAATAAAGGAGCTGTTCAAGTCTCAAAGTGTAATGTTTAGACCTGTGGCAACATGATACTGTACCATGCTCACTGAGCATACACCCTGGATCTCAGGCAGAAATAAAGGGAAAGAATATGCTTGTTACACAGACTCTTACCACTTCTCACCCTACAACGAGTAGAGGGAGAGAAGGGGAAGCAACAGAGTGTGAAAAAGGATGTATAGGTGAGAGAAAGAGTGAGCGATATTATGTGATACATACATAGAGGGCAATTCAAAGTAAAGCAGGAAGAGACAGCACACAAGTAGAGCGAAAAACAAGACAGGAAGGGAGAACAGAGAGGGATGGAAAAAGTAGAGAAGAGAGATGGAGGAGTGAGGCAGAACTTGCATCAGATCACAGAGGAGGGAGGCTGGCAGTAATGCTAATGCCAGCAAGCAAGGCTGTCTCTGCATATACTTAACTCCGAGTGTGGTGTGCATTTCTTCCAAGTGCATATGATTGCATCAATTTGTGTACCGAGTTGTTTGTGCATATATTTAATGTACATGTGTTTGTGTATCCATGCATTATTGTGTGTCCCTTACCCTTTTATTTTGGTGCACGTGTGTATGCTTTCTATAGGTTTTCAGTGATTTTGTTGTTGCTATTACCTAGCACACATATATATATATATATATATATATATATATGTCTCTCCTACTTTCACCTCATTACCAATCCTTTTCCCCTCTTTTATATTTGACCTAGATATTGTTTTTTTCTATTTTCCTTTTGTCTGTGTTGTATGCATTTCATCCTCCCTTTTCTCACTCTTCCCTCTCCTACTCCTACATGACCCGTTCTGCTTTACCCACTCTTTAGTTTTCTCTGTTTTAGTTGTATACATAACAAAAGTTTCATCCCCAATATTTTAAGTAAAATTGTATATTTGTTGTCAAACTACTCATCATTGAATAATGATGAGTAGTTTCCTACAGTTGTTGCATGGTCAGGTCTACTTTTTTAGTTTTAAGGTAAAGTTAGCCATAGTCAAGCATGGATATGATTTTAAGCAAATATCTTCTATCCTCAGTTCTATGTCAGTTGATCCACATTTTGTTTGAAAGTGAGAATGCTGTCTAGACAAATCCACAGGTATTCACAGGATTGCACAATTATAATGTCAGTATCATGAAGTGTTTGTATCGCAGGGCGATGCAAACATGGAAATATGCGTTCTTGGGAAAATAACACATTTTATCTTGTCAGCATCCAGTGCAAACTTTATGCAAAGATCATGCACATATCTATGAAGAGTGCACAATGTAATTATACTTTTGCAAACTGATGTTAGAAGCAAATAATTTAGAGAGCTGCTGATTTAACTTTTTTTCTTTCAAAAATATAAGTGCTAATGAAACGATGTGTGTTCTCTGTTTCCAGGCTGTGTCCACACTGACAGACCTGTTGAGAGATAACCTGAGGAATGATAAAATAAAGCAGTTCCTGCTGCCGCCACTCGGGGAGATCCTCTACCTCATCGCCTCTCAGGTAGGCTTCATCACAGAAGCCAGTATAAGAGACAGATATAATGCAGCTTATTGATTTAAAGGGAACACACTGTATACGTGAGAAATAGATGTACATGACTTGCATGCATGTAGTCCAAGGGCAAAGATTGCAATATGTAGTTCCATGGCTCATTACAACTTCCTTCTTTTCCTTTCTGTGGCTTCTGTAACAGTTATTAACACATTGTGCCAAATATTTGTATAAGTATTAGATGTTATCATCAGTCTAGTTAGTGTTTTCAATATGACAGTTGGACATTAAGATGGAATCTATCCTATAATATGACAGGGGCATTACATTTCAAGGTTCAAGGTTCTTTATTTGTCATACGAACATAGCTACAGAGTAGTTATTTACCTCAGATTCTCAGTACTTTCCATTGCTTAGACCTACACAGATAATTAAATAATAAGAACAATGCATTCAATTAATTGAAATATTCATATTTACATGTTTTGAGAAATACAATGAATACATTCAAAACACGATCAAAACACATTTTCTTATAACTTCGGTGAGAAAGACCAATCTCCAGTGAAATGAATGAAACTGAATGCTCTGTCATTAGGTAATGGAGTTTAAATGTACATGCTGACTAAATAGAATTATAAGTGAATTGACCCCCAGCCCTGAAAATTACAGGAGAAAGAGTGAAGGAGGCCTCGTTTGACTTCATTAGAAAAAGGTGATCCCAATTTATTTCTAGTTAACCTCAATCAAGCCAGGCGAGTTGATTAAGGGTAAGATTTTTATTTACAAGACTGACGGATAACCTTCAAAAATCGATCACCCCGCCTGATTACACTTATTACTCTCCTGAAGCCACAAGGAATCTCATCAGTGTCTGTAGAAGCTCTTGATACATTGACTTTTCTCCTCCTGCAGGAGCTTGTGTTTTCCATGGATGCGTGTGCGCTTTAATTAACTGATTCCTGTAGCCCCTCTTAGAGTTCAGGGTCAGTTGTTAATAGCAATTAAAAAAAATAATAATAATCTCGGGCACTTGGTTATATACAGTACTCAAGTTGTACAAATAAATCAGGAGGGATGGTGGATTTTATCATATGGGGACATCATTTGTGCTGATAACCCGCCGAGGGTGGGAGACCTACCAGCATAAAGATCATTATTATACTCCTAAAACAACATGCATGTTATGGATGTTCAGATACTCCTTTCATTGCTCTTGACCAAGGCACCTCAGAATTAGAGTCGGTCTCCGGGCTGCCATGGCACCACTAACATTTAGGGTCAAATGCAGAGGACAATTAGTGCCAAATCTTTTTTTCACTTTAATTTAAAGGGGGGGAGGGGATACAAAAATGTGGTTATAATGGACGTCTATGGTACAAATCTTGTAGGTTAACAGTCCCTCATTTATTATTCAGATGGATCAACTGATTATACTAATAATAAAGTCAAAATAGTTTTTAGAATATTGAATTATAGTGTATTTTTTCAAAAAAGCAATTACTGGTATACGATCAAAACTGGTATCTAAAGGGTTACATTTGTATCGTAATTAATTAAATCATTATGTAAATTCTTCATGAAAAAATTGAGGAAAAAAATTAGAAAAATATTGATCCGTCATCATTTTATTGCAGTTCAAATACAAATATTTTATGTTAACATTCCCAATGTTACTTTTTTTTAACAGGGCATTAAGTGCAAATTGAAATTGTTTACAAAATATGAAAATATATGAAAAGATTATACAGATAATACCAAATAGGACCAATGTTGTCAATGGCTGCCTACTCCACTTTCCCCCATCTCATAGAAGTTTACAAAGATTTTCATAATCATGCTTTTTGGTCTCAATTTTTTTTCTGGCTCTTGCTTTCGGATTGTTAGCTAAGCAATGGCTTTGAAGCCAAGTCTTGACATATACCTCTGGTCTGAACTTGTTCAGTGGAGGGCCAACACACTTGATGAAAAGCAAGGCTGACATGCTTTTTACCTCCAGGGAGCTTCTAGTTGTGGTTAAAATGTTCATCTGACTAAACCCACGTTCACACTCAGCTGTGGAGATGACCAGAGTGTTCACTGCTTGAAGGAGGGGTTTCAGCTCTTCTGGTGCTGGTGGTATCATTTCAGCAACAGTTTTGAGTCTTACCAGCTAGCTAACACGAGAGAAAAACGTAGCTAAACTCCAAACTAAGTTGTTATTGCTGCTTATGTCCATAGATTCCACCTTTGGTGAATAAAGTAGTGAGTAATGACTAAGATTACTGATTCTTGATTTACCTGAAATGTTATTTTTAGTATTTTTAAATATGAAGTCCCTCAGATCGCGTTGTCCCCCTGCAGACCCGGCGTCATGGGCGGGCCCCATGGGGCCGGGCCCGCCCATCCAGGATTTGGGCCCGCCCATCCAGGATTTGGGCCCGCCCATCCAGGATTTGGGCCCGCTGTTTTAATCAGGGCTGAATACAACATTTTAATTGTTTTATTATTATGTTCAGTGGCGGCGCCAGAGTATACTGGGGTAGGCTACAGCCATACCAAGAAATGGCTTAGCCCCACCATGAAAAATGATTTTAAAGTAAGCTAAATAAAGTCCGCCAACTCGCGCGGAGTAAATTGCACAGACAGCAGTAAATACCGAAGACTAGAAACGGTTTTGAAAACTTTTGTCACGTAGTGATCGTCTTCTCAATAGAACATCTTTGATAATGTCTTCTGGCCAATCAGAATCACGATAACGACGTGGTGTTGATGCAGGAAGTCCCGACGGAGAATACTTTTGCTGTAGTACATCTCTATATACATCGATACAACATTACGTGTTGATAGAAATCATCACATAATGAAATAAGACCCCACGGTTTGATGATTGATAGGTGTGTGGGCTGTCTTTCATTTTGACACACAGAACAAAGGGGGCTATCCACCCTTATCCACAATGTAAAGTAATTCACAGCCTCTTCCCTCTCCTCTTCTGTGAGGAGCAGCAGGTTCAGCTTTCAGAACAAAGTAACACAAAACTAAAATGGCATTCATGTCGTGTAGTAATAGATGTATTTATTTGTCTTCTCAAGAGAGTACCAGAATGTGTATTTTATGTTAGTATTTCAAAAAATCTACTGGGGGAGAATCCCCCCAGACCCCCCTGCAGGGGTTGGGTTTTCAGCATGTCAGCTCTTTCACCTGTGGGGAAATTGCAGGATTGGCTCCAGGTCGCCCTTTTTATTTACTACAAGACAAATGTGTCTTTTTATTTCATACAGTTCAATTTGGATTGAGACAGGGAAATAATCTAAACCTCACGCGTTTCACTGTCAAGGGGAGCGTGTATGTAATTACATTGCAAATACTGACTTGAGCCCCACCATGCACTGTATGGGTTAGCCCTACCATAGATTACCCAACAAAAACACTCGGGAGCCGCCACTGATTATGTTTATTGTTGTTATTTGTAGGGCTTTGTCCTAATATTTATTTTTGTTTTAAACTATGTTGAAAGATTAGTTTAATATCATTTTTTAAATTTTGCTATGAAATTCTGAATGAAAGGCTGCGCGCGAGACTGGTGTTTCGCTGGGTTGAGTCGTGTGGGTTTTTGAGTGAGATGCGGCACAGCAGCCTGTCAGTTTACTCTTGCTAGGTTAGTTTGGCTATTATCATTTATATTTATCTGCAACAATGGATATCAGGAAGTGGTTCACACTTATACACTTGAAAGGAATATGGCAACTCAGCGCCAGATGCAGGCACATTAGAAGACATCAGTTACGTTACCAACGAGCTAGCAAGCCAGCCAGGGACAAGGGAGGCTGGCAATCAATTATATTTTGAAGAGAAATTGACTCTCAAGCCGGCTCTACAAATGTGCCACAAAACCAACCAATGGATGTAGCCTAAAATAAGACCGTCAACAGCCTTATGGCAACCTAACCACCCCCACCCCCTTGACAAATCTCGAGATTTCCCGGGAAATGTAAGTTTCGGGGTGGGCCCGCCCTGGTAAATCAAATGCCCGCCCAGAGACGTATGTCTGCCGCCGGGTCTGTCCCCCTGGTCGCTTGGCCATTGTGATGACCGTTACCTGCGCTTCTGGCATCGATCAAACAGGCGCATCACGGCGCTCTGGCGCCCTCTAGGGCACTCGCATAGTATAGCGTCAGTGACTTGGTAAAAATGTCATTGCGTGTGTGCGTGCTCCCTCGCTCACAGTATTTTACTCAAAATGCGTAAAATTAATGTTGAAATAGCAGTAATACCAGTGCCACGTTCATTGATAAAATTACATAAGGGATGGAAAGGGGGGATGGCAGTTTTAGAAGGGGGATGATTTTGACCGTTTTTATTTCAGGGGGGATGCCATCCCCCCTCATCCCCCCTCATCCCCCCTCAACTCGAGTACTGGTTATATAGTAAGAAAAGGCAAATTAGAGATATAGGATATTGAAAAGATAAACTGAAAAGGTTTTTCTTCTGTCAAATGTTTTAGCATAATGGGGCTGGTGTTGTTTGTAATGTGAGGTTTTAGGGGGACAAAGTACACTTGATTTGAACCATTGTTTTCCTTTTACATCAGAAACAAACAGCATTATTTTGCTTAAAAAAACATCCAAAATGCATGAACCATAGGCCAAAAAACGATTATGTTTTTCTCTTAGTCCCGTCCAATACGTCTGTCATACAATCATAACGTGTACAGAAAGTGGCAACTGAAGCACAAAGGAGCTCACAATATCTATTTTAAATAGATAGTAGTAGATGCTTTTACTTGGTAAGATATATCTAAAATATAGACATAGACTCACCTCTTATTATATTGATGATATGCTGCCAATAAATGCCAATGGTAGAGCTCTAAGAACAATATTTGGCTATTTATATTACTGCTATGACCTATATATATTTTATATATTAGAGTCCCTAAAAACTTTGATATGCTTTTTTCAGTAAGAATGATTTGCTGTAGTTCTTTCTAGGTTTCCATTTTTTTTTTAAATGTTGAATTGGAACTTGGAGCTTGGAGAACGCTGAGTGCAAGCTTCTTGTGTGAAGCGATGGCAGTCATTAGAGTCTAATAGAACCTTCTTGATGTAAGGTAACCTGCTTGTCTTCTTTGGATTGAGGATTGGATTTGATGTGTTTTTCAGTCGATGATTAGCACAGCCTTTAGTGCTGTGTGGGCTTCTAATGGCTCTTAAAACCCCAGTAGTTATTGAGTCTTTTAAGAGTCCCCTGGTGTAAGGGCAGGTTGGCAGATCTGGTGGGTCTTCTGGTCAATGTCAATGATCAGCTGCAATGCTGCATTTATTCTCAAGGTTAGATCTAATGTACGTACAACCACAGAAGCATAAACTTTTATTGGACTTTGGACTAACTGCTTCAAGGTTGAAACACAAAGTTTTCGGACTATTCCCACATGGTGGGAGCAGTGTGGTGAGGTGAAAACTCTTCTTAAAATCGTGCATGACCTCAAACCACCAGAAATAGTTCACTGAAATAGTACATAACCACAGAAAACACCATTAATGATCAGACTGATTAATTTTCTGATGCAGCATGTTTTGATGTGAGTAAAGTGGCAATGGTCCTTTAGTGTCCCCAGGTAAAGTCAGCCGCTTTGCTCCTCTTTTCTACTGCAGCACCAGTCAATGACAATGATTAGCTTTGGTATAGCCTCCAGTCCTGTCTTATTCCTCAAGGTGAGCTATAGCCTAGAGCAGAGAACAGTGTGTATGTAATGTTACGGGGCATTGTTAAATGATGGTTGAAATGATCAGATTTGATCTGAAATATAATACAGCACTGTTATGACAGTTTAGATACCGTATTTAGTTAAATAAGTACATACTTCCTGGATGATCTAATGAACAAGACTCAATCCACAATAAGATCATTGACAACAATTTGAATAATTATTTGAATAATTCATTAAGTAAAACTGACACACTGTTGTGTTGAATTTGAGGATATTCTACTTTTCCGAGTTCCAATAAATTGTAAATTAAACATATTTTTGTTTAGGATTACAGGTTGGAAAAAGAAAGCAATCGCATTGGCCGTGGGGAATTTGTGATGGGCATATTTAGAGATATTGTAGACTAAGATATCAATAGATTTGTTTCTCAAAGCATTAGATGAGGCAACATTTGAAAGTGAAAATACTTTTTATTTACAGCCTTGTCGACTTTAAATTAAAAAACTTTCATTAGTATATTTAAATGTGTTCTCCCTGTGATGTGATTGTTTACTCAAACAAGACAAATTAAAGAAAACATTATGTAAAATACTAAAACATAATATATTTCTAAGTAAAATATCAATATGTTACAGAACAGAAAGCCATTGAATTTGAATGGTATTGAAAGCAGGTTCACACACAGACATGGTAATCAGGAAGTCATGGCTCCTCTTGCTCCCTTCTCCTACTTGACCCTGTCTTGCCCTTTTCTTCACTTTGCTCTACTTCTCTGCATCTCCTCCATATAATATCTCTGCCTTCCTCCCACTCCCACTCTACTCCTCCACTGCCCCATGCCCCCCCAATCTGTACCCCCTCCTCCTATTTCCTCTCACCCTTTCTCTCTGTCTTCTCAATGTCTCTCTATCAGGAGGAGAAGAGAGGCTCCCCAGAGGGACTGTGGTTCGTTCCCGCTGCCGCCTACACTGGCTTAATGAGGAGCCTGCGGGAAGGGGTGAGTGTCTCTGTGTATGTCTGCGTGTGTCTGTTTTTGTGTCTGTGCCTGTGTAGCTGTGACTAAGTCTCTCTCACTGTGTGTGCCTGCCAGTGTGTGTGTGCGAGTGTGTGGCAGGGGATCCCTGTGAACAGTAATGATGAGGCAGCTGTGGGGGCCTAAAGCGTTGTTTGCCAGCTGCAAGTCAAGGGCATGCAGAGCAGTCACACACACACATGCATGCACACACACTCGTACCTGCATCAAACACAGCCCTTTACTGCTCAGCAGCCTGACCTCAGCAGCAATTAGGACCCTCCAGATACACACATACAGTAGATGGAGCAGAAACACAAGCAGAAATATGGATAGCTCTTTCCCTGTTGCTGGCTTACCTGCTATATTTCTTTGAACTCTTCTCTATATCCTCTCCTTTTCTATTTAATTATACTTTCCATTTCATATTAGTTTGTCATTATTCTATAAAATTACATATATGTCTGCAGTGATAAAACTGTGTTCTATGTTGGCATCAAGCTTTTGACAATTCTGACTCCGCCCTCTTTGCAATCAGAGGGCCCACAGCAGGAAGTTACACGTTTATTTTACATCTTTTAATTACACTTTTCTTCAGATGTTTCCCTTCATTCTGCTTATATTTACATTTCAACGTAATTAGTAGTTATTTTGATTTGAATCCTCTGCTTCTTAACATCAACACGCTGTGCCTCCTTAATAAAATGTAAGTGCAAGAAATATTTTTAGGATTGCATAGTTTTTGTTGTGCTTGCTCTAATTTGTGTATCACATGTTAAACAGCCAAGTGATTCCATAACAAAGCTTTTGTAGTCTTCTTACATAGTGGACCAACGCAGCTGAATAAGGAGAATTCTGTTGGGTGGTAAGACTGATAGATATAGTGAACAGGTGGAGGGAGAGACGGAAGATGCATGTCGTTTTGTCTGTCACAGGCAGAAGTGGTCTTCCTGTTGTGGCCCGCCATAGCAGAATGAATACAGATGAAACTCTGGTCTACACAGTTGTCAGCTAGTACCTACTGTTGCTTCATTACCAGCGGGAGAGATGAACAGCAGGGGTGTGTGTGAGTGTGTGACAGGAGCAGGGAGAGGGGTTGAGGGGAGGAGAAAGGAGGTTGACTTACTTATCATTATTGAGCTGTGAGAGAAGGCTGACGGACACACACACACACACACACACACACACACACACACACACACACACACACACACACACACACACACACACACACACTCAGCCTTAGAGACCAGACACTCATCCCCAGACCCAACCTGCCTCCCTCCTCTCCCTCTCTCCTTCCTGTCTCTCTTTTCCCCTCTCCCTGACTGGCTGTTGTTCCTGTTGTGTATTTGCTATTATATTACAGACCAGTCTCAATAGTCTAACTTTGTCTCATGGGAGTTGCATTATCTGGAATTAACAAGGTGGTCACACTATACCATAGTGTATCATACGTCTATAGAGAGCCGTATATACAAACTGTTGAGATATAACTATATCATTGCTGATACAGAAATGCCATTTGTGAATCATTTTAGAAATATAGGAAAACTTGATGTCTCAGGGGGGCGACCAAACCATCCTTCATCCCAGTCAATGTATTACTTAGCATAGGAATGGTTGCTATCATTGTTTTTTTTGCCATGTTAGCGTTTAGCTTGCCAACAACAGTACCTGAGGCTCAACCGGACGATAGGAGGAAAATATAAAATAACGTCGTTTTATATCAAATGACAATATTACTTGCAATCAACAAATGTACTCGGTTGTGCCATTCTACTGCTTTCATTGTACTGCTTAAATACAAAATATACTTTTGAATTAAAATGATGAATGATAGTGACATTTTAAGTGCAGTTTTTTACTGATACTCTTTCAACTACATAAAACTAAAATACCTGAGTGCCATATCGCAGCTTATTCCGTTTGTGTTCAACGCAAGTTGACATTGCACTTAAATGATAAAAGGCTGAAATAATGTACAATCTACCTCAAGCACTTGCCCTGAAACTATTCAATGTACTACCTATTTCACAAAGATCTACAAATCAATAACTCTGTGCAACTCACTGACATGGACAGCTGTGTTATGCAAGTTAATGCAATCTGCTTTTTGCCGTCCCCTGTCCCCTGAAAATGAGCAATGCCGGTGCAATGGCAGAACATCTCAACTTGAAAATGGAATTTGTGTTTTAGTGCCTAAGGTGCAACACAAATGTTTATAAAAGAATGTCTCTGGTTGAAGAACACATGATTATTCTGTGCCCCGTTACTCGTGAAACCAAACATTTCCCCGTACAATGTCTCAAGACCTGGTCAATACTGAATACATCTGATTTTGGCATTTTAGTTTTCACTGATTGTATTTGAAAACAGACAATATGATATCAAACGGCGTCTTTCAGGAGACATGGTGTTACAGTCACTGTAACTAGCTGTAAAATGTCTGTCAGCAAACCTTTTAGTTTCTGAATTCTTTGCTGTTTGGCTCATCTTCCTCGTCGTCTTCCTCTCTTGACCTGTTCTTGGAGGGCTCTGACGTCAGATCTTCCTCAGCATCGCTGTCACAGGCCCAGTTCCGGTCACTTTCGATGTCAGAAATGGCGTCAAATAGTGCCAGTGAGCAGTTGGGGGTTCGGTGCCTTGCTCTTGGGCACCTTGGCAGGGCCTAGGAGGTGAACTTTTAACTCTCCAGCTACCTATTTATTTTTGGTCCGATCGGGACCCGAACCGGCAACAATTCGGTTCCCAGGTCAAGTCCCTAGAGACTGAGCCACTGCCGCCCAAAAAAAAAAAGCAGGGTCCAACCTTATTCCAAACATGAGTTGTTAATGTTAAAACATTTTGAGTAATTTCTAGCTCACAACATTGTAACTGAAATGCACAATATATTTTTATTATAGCATGTTTTAATAACAAACAGTACATCCAGGGTTGTGTGAAATAACAACATTTAGCAGTGATTGTATCAAATGTCTGCTAAACCAAACAAGGTGACAGAGCCAGTAAGAAGACAGCACACATGAGGGACTCAGGCTGTGATCCGCCTGGATAATCCTGCCATAGGTTATATACAAAGTTGAACTTCTGGTCAGAAAGACTGCAGATATGGTTGCTCACCCTTGAGTATCTAACGAGAGACAGACAGAGTGGGGGAGGGATATAGACAGAGAATTAATATCATTTTTCTCAACCAGGCTGACAAATAGCCCAAGGCATAAGGCTGATCGTACTGCCAATCCCATTGAGAACTAAGACCCCATTGTGCCCCTTTTCTGCAGTTTTTATTTCCTGATTAAATTATAAAAAACAAAACAATGTCAGTCCAAATAAACACAATTAAGCGATATTACGGTGAACAAAAAGAGAAGACCGCTAATGTTGGAATTTGATCAAATTCACACTTAACATGTAGTCTTTTGGATCTCATTAGCCGCTTTCACACCGCAGGACTTGCCATACTTTAGTGCCGGCACTAAAGTACCACGGCACTGAATCCGCCAGGGGGCTAGTGCCAATCGCATTCACACCGCAGTATTTTCCCTGAGGCAAGATTACGCTGACGTCACTTCGTCTTCTTCTTCTCTGGGTTTACTGGCAGGCCGCAAAACCACTTCACGGCGAGTACAAAAAAAAACGAGAGAAGAAGAACTACACGGGGGGAGGGGGTATAAAGCCCACCCGCTGTATGAGGCGTTTGTTTACTTTCCGACCTCTGACATGATGGAGTTCATAAGGGTAATAAGGGTAATTTACAAATAAAATACCCCATTATAACAATGGATTTTATCTTTATGTATTTATTATATATTACCCCCTCAGGCTGATTTTGGAAAAGGACATTAACCCTTGTTTGGTGTTTTTCCCCTTATTTATCTAAAACAAATGACATGATAAATTACTTGTGTTTATGTGTGTAAGACTTGTGTTTCTGCCCCTGCCATTGCTGCACAAGGTTGCAACATTGTAGATAAATTCAACCACCGACACCTGTCTGCTCTCACATTCTTCTATTCTGCAAATTTGGGGTGGGTATTTATATATACAGTCTATGGGTGGGACACAATAAATAAAGCTTCGCCAGTTTGTTTGTTTTATTGCACAGTCAAGACATAACAATAACGGCATCACGCTGTTCCAGGTGTGTCGTATGCATGTAAATTGAAGTTAAATAAAAGTGTGAAATGTAAAATAAAGTGTAAGTAGTTTCAAAACAATGTAACAGTGGCAATATAGCAGCAGACACACCTTAGTGCAAGTAAGGTGTCAGTATTAAAAAACAGTGGCAATATATATATATATATATATATATATATATATATATATATATATATAATAACAATAGAAAATCGTTACCACTCATATTATTGTGGTCTTTAATTTTGTTATAGTCCTGCCTGAGTTTCTTTATTTTTACCCGGCATCCGTGTGCACTGTGCACGATTCCCAGCTCAAGTAGCTTTTGCGAACATCGCTCAAAACATTTGGAGTTGGGAACTGCTTTCTGTAGAAGCTGCTGCATCCCCTCCTCAGAGTTACGGCCCGTCCACACTACAGCGTCGACAGCGTCGACAGCTTCAATCTGCCCATTCACTTTGAATGGGGTGACGTCACGTTGCCGCTTTTTTTCGCCGAACTGAATTGTGGGTAGCATAGCGGTCCGTCTCCGCCGGAGATGCCGGAGTAGCCAGCGCCAGCCAATCAAATCCCGTTTCGGAAAATCTGACAGCTCAAGCCGTAGCCAATCAAACCGAGTCTAAGCTGGGAGAGATATCCCGCCGTTCATTTCTATATTTCAAAAAAAGATGGAGGAGAAACTAATTATCGCCGTAGCAATCACCCGGTTTTGTATGACCAGACCCTCTTCACCTACCGGGATACAAACCGGAGGAACCAGGCATGGAGGGAGGTGGCAGAGACAGTGGGTGAAACTGGTAGGTTTTCGCCTGTTTGGGGAGTTTATATATATATTGCTCCCATAA